GATGCAGCTGTCTTGAAAAGAGCAATTGTTGATTTCTCGATTGGTGATTTTTCATCTGGGGCCAGTAGCTTTATTCAGTTACTTGATTGTAGAGAGTGGTTTTAAATCATAAAAAACCATCTTGCCCAAGTGTGCCCTTGGACATAAAGGAATTCTAAAAAAATGCAATGTTATTCATCACAAGGGACATTGCACTTGTTAATTTATTCTGGAACCTATACTGGCCGCAGGCCCAGAGTGGAGCAAGTTTGGAATAAAAGTATGAACAGAATATATTGTTGGCTTTGAATTCATTAAATTACTTAGAAGAAATGTTTAATGTAAAGCACTCGTTACCTATAGCATTACTACATAAATCTAGCTTTGTTAACACGCTCCTGTGCTGATTAAAGCCCCTGTGCGTGAGAAACAGCCTGGGGCTAGCATTTCTCCCACTGCACCCATCGGTGTCTCAGAGACCCCGGGTTCTCCCTCGGTCAGGAGGAGGCTTCTCTGCTTCGCGTGTCCTCTACAAGTTCCTCCCATGGAAGCCCAGAGGTGCCTGCATGCAGGTGCCCCTCACCCAGCCAGGGGAAGCTGCAGCTGTGTGAACAGACAGTGTTAGATAACCTTAGCTCAATGAATCATCAACATAGTCTCGGGGAAAAAGAAACAGTAAAAATCCAGGGTGCAAACTGCTGTAATGAAAAGCATCACAGATCCATTTAAAACACCACAAGCAGGAAGGAAAGCTTGCATCATTGGCTGTTGCTTTTGAGGACTTTCGGAGGTTTGTGCTGGCTGTTTGGTTTTTGCTCCCCCCCTCCCCCATTGTGGAGTGGGCTGAGCTTGGGCCAGAAGAGTGAATCCCTAAAACTGAGGCCATGGTGAAAAGGGCTCAAGCTAGGGAAGAAGGCATGGATGCCCTGGGGAAATGATGTTAGCAGCCCAAAGTCACGGTGACAAAGAGAGATCAAGGGAGAGCAGGAAGTCAGGTCAGAGGATGGAGGACCCCATATTGTCACAGAAGGCAAAACACCAATAGAGAAGGGGATGACATGGCAGAGGTGGGAGTAGCGAAAAGGTTTGCAACTATGCAAGCTGCGAGTGAGTCAGAGGATGGAGTCAGGCTGAGGACCAGAGAGGGGGTGCACCAAATGTGGTTGTGTCAGCACAAATGCAGAGATGTTTTATTCACCCCAGCAGAATTATCATAAGAAAACAGAAGTTTAAATTAGACCAACTCTACAAAACAAGAGACTTCCCCAGTGGCCCTTTACATGTCGTTTGTAAATGAATGACATCGAATCCGCAGTTTGCCTGCAGAGATGGGCTGCAAGGGAAATTTGTTACCTAAGAGCAATGACTCAGACCTCTGTCCTTATCGATCAATGCTGGAGACAGAACAGAGCCTAGTGATCCTAGAACCAACCAGGGAAGACATGCCACCTGGTGTCAGCTCACCCCCTCCACTGTACCCTCCTGAAAACCATGTGACCCCTCAGCAGAAGCCAGTTACCTCCTCTTCCTAGACACTAGGCAATCTGCATTCACGTGATCTGTGCTATCAAATCACCCATACATTTGAGCAATTAAGTTGCTTTGTTATGTCTCCAAATAAAATAGAAACAGGTTCTAATATCTCCCAGAGTAATAAAAAGCATGACAATATATGTAAAATGCAGAAAAATGTGGATCTCACATTTGATATCATATGGTCACCTTTGAAATTCTTTCTTTCATTAGCTTCTAGGATAAACTGTACTGATTCTGTTCATTTGTTTATTTACTTATTGATCTACTATTTATTGGGTGTCCATATGTGCCAGTCACTCTTCAAGGTACTGGGGATACAGTATTGAACCAAATTGAAAAAAATCCCCCTGTCCTCATATAGCTTACATTCTCTTCATTCTTTCACTTATTTTGCTATGTCTTCTCTCTCTCTCTTTCTCTCACTCTTTTTTTTTTTTAGTTAAATATACTTATTACATGCCAGGATTTGTGTCAAATTTGTGATATCTATTAGGTCATTTGATCCTTAGTGGCACTAGCACTGTCCTCACATGTTAGAGGAAGTGGGGCATAGAAAGTTGACACAGCTCTTCTAAAGCCCCTCAGCTAGCAAGCCTTCAGCCCAGGGTCAGGGTACACTCTTCTGTCTTGGGGCCCTCTGTGCTTTTGCTTTTTTTCTAACCTCAGGTTTGGCCTATGTCTGTTGTTAAAGAATCTATCCATTGTCATCATGCACCTAATCTTTCACAGATGGTCTCAGACCTTTTAGATTCTGTCTTCTGCCAAAGCTCCAGGCCCTGGTCCTTAGAATAAGGACCCACAAGTGTCACAGGAGCAGTGCCACAAGGACCTGAGTCATCTGGCCTGGAGTTTCACTGGGGCCTTATCTGCTGTCACTCATCCTCCTCTGGCCACACACCAGCCTGCCTGGGGCTGGAGAAATGGGTAAATCCTGCTCGCTCCCCTGCAGCTCATCTGGACTCTGCGCTCTCACTGTTCTGCTTGCCACAGCCCCCTTCCCACCTGTCGTTTGCACTCACTCTTTAGGTGTTAGCTCAGACCTCTGAGGGCTCCACCTGACCCCACAGGCTGGCTCAGAGTCCTCCGTCACATTCTCGCAGCACTGGCCAGTTTCCTTGCTCCAGTTATTAGGCTCCTCGAGAGCTGGGCCACTTGTCTTTTGCTCACCTTGTGTCTGAGAGTCCGGCTACCAGATTGAATAGCTTGCTGCAGACATGCCTACCGTTGTTTCAAACTCAACAAAATGGAAATTACATTTTGCTCAACATTGGATATGCCTACTTTCTGATGACCTAACGACCTCGCCATGCTCACCCTGGGTCAGGATTGCATACTGCCTGTCAAATCGCCTCACTCCTTCCCTGTCTTTCTCAATCTCCCCATGTCACAGGAGCAGCAGCACTGATGACCTCTGCTTGATTGTCCAGGAATGTCTTGGCCTACAGTGTTGTCACCTCTGAGATTCGCTGCGCAACAATCCTAACACCCTTGCAGTCCTTACAGGACTCTCTCTGAGACCAGCCATATATTTATTCAAACGTTCTGAATGTTGCTGGTCTATAGACCTATCAGCATCACACACACGTCTATTAGGGCATCTATCTCCCCTTCAGCTCATCTACTCTTTTTTTTTTTTTTTTAAAATCATGAGCTAATTAACAGGAGGTAGACAGATTGAGGTTTGGAAAAACGATGTTAAGAAATCATTCTGGCACAGTGGTGAGAGCGCTGACCTGCGGACTGAAGGGTCCGGGGTTCGATTCTGCCCAAAGGCCAGGTGCCGCAGTTGCAGGCTCCATTGCAGCCCTGGTCGGACACTCGCTGGAGGCAGCCACTCGATGTGTCTCTCATATCGGTGTTTCTCTCCCTCCCACTTCCACTCTCTCTGAAAAAGCAATGGAAAAAATATTCTCCGGTGGGGATTTAAAAAAAAAGAAATCATCCTGGATGCGCGGGCACTGGGCAGTGCAGCACACAGCGGAGGGAGGGAGCTCAGCCTTACTGAGCTCCTTATGGGAGGTGAGAACAGGAGCAGAGCAAGGCGCGCAGTGCGGGGCTCCAGCTGGAAAGGTCCAGGTTCCAGGTCCGGATGTTAAATTACCCTGGTGGCCCCGGGCCTGTGCGTCGTCGCCTGTCACAGGGAGTGGCTCTTCTGGCCTCCTGGACCCAATCCTGCAGATAAAACCCGTGCTGTGCCCCTCGCCCCAGGCAGGGCCCCTCCCGAGCCTGCAGACGGGACGGAGATAGCGCAGGCAGGCGGCGGGGCCCCCGCGACAGGAGGGAGCCGGCGCGGCCGCG